CTGAGGGAGTCAAAGTCTGCTTTCCTGAAATCCAGGGTCCGTATCCTGCTGCTTACCTTTCTTCCCTGTGTCAGGATCCTGAACTCAACCAACTCATGGTCACTGCCTCCCAGATTCCCATCCACTTTTGCTTCCCGTACTAATTCTTCCCGGTTTGTGAGCAGCAGGTCAAGAAAAGCTCCCCCCCAGTTGGCTCCTCTACAACTTGCACCAGGAAATTGTCCCCTACGCTTTCCAAAAACTTCCTGGATTGTCTATGCACGGCTGTATTGCTCTCCCAGCAGATATCAGGAAAATTAAAGTCACCCATGAGAACCAGGGCGTGCGATCTACTAGCTTCTGCGAGCTGCCGGAAGAAAGCCTCATCCACCTCATCCCCCTGGTCCGGTGGTCTATAGCAGACTCCCACCACTACATCACTCTTGTTGCTCACACTTCTAAACTTAATCCAGAGACACTCAGGTTTTTCTGCAGTTTCGTACCGGAGCTCTGAGCAGTCATACTGCTCCCTTACACATATAGTGCTACTCCCCCACCTTTTCTGCCCTGCCTGTCCTTCCTGAACAGTTTATAACCATCTATGACAGTACTCCAGTACTGTCATGGGGCAGTGAGTCTTTTTAAATTTTACACAAGGAGTCCCAAAGATTAAAATCATATCTCCCCGGCAATGCCTGCTGGTTGGCGATACATAGCTGAAGGCTACCCACTGAATAAACTTTCCCTCCAAAAGATCGAGTCTCTTTGCGTCTTTGTTTCAGGGTAGCACTCCACTGGCTCTGCATTTCCCACTCATTCGCTACAGTGACCACCAGGTATTCGAACTCGTTCGCCAGTACATAGTACTTTTTCTCTGCCCTCTTCGAGGTGGAGGGCAGAGAAGGAGTTTTCCACAGGGCTTTGACTGCTCCCATCATCGCCTCATTGATGGGCAAGGCCATGTTGGAGGGTGCTGACATCCAGGATGTCAATCAAGCTGTTTGCTGACTCTTTGAGCTCTTCATTCTCTAGACCCAGGTTTGCCATGACCCATTTGAGAAGGTCCTGCTGAGCCCTGAAGTCATCCTGCAGAAGCACGCTACTGGGCCTGCGATAGCCTTGTCAGGGGAGAAGGAGGCTTACACCAGAGGTGGGGTTCCTTCCTCCTCTTCCACTTCACAACCACTGGAGTCATCTCCTGGATGCTGGCACTGGGATCCAGAGTCAGTATCCAGTGCCGAGTAGGAAGGAGCGATAGTCTGCTTCTCCAAAGCTTCCATATAGAGCCATGCACAGATACAAAATTTGTATCTGCATCCGATCCGCAAAAATCATCCACGGATATAAAGCTGATATCTGCAGATTTCCAGAGCTCTACGAATAAAAGCAGTGGAAGGAGGGGCCCAGCACCGCGGGAAATCCCCAGGGTTGCAGTATGGCCACTGCATCAGCTGGAGGCCTACCAGCACCAAAGTCCAGTGGCACATAGGCTGGGTACTGGTGATGTGCCCTGGGTGGAGCGAAAGATTTTCCTTAGGACTCTTCTTCAGAGTCTTCTCTCAGGGACCATCCTGGATCCGTACCCAGTTCTGCCTCCGCATAGTGCCAGGATTCTGTGAGCTGCCAAAGAGTCCATGACCGTGTTGCCAGGATCATGGTAGGCTTACCCTAGAGGGAGCCAGAAGTGCCTGGGAAGGAGCCCTACGCTTCCAGTCGCCTGGGCTGGCGAGTGCCCCCTTGGAGTCAATGGGATTGGAAGAGAGAAGAGGTTCTTCACTACCTTGAAAGCCTCCAGGGCCAAGGGGACCGTCGGACTGCTGGCACCACAGCAGCTTCCAGGTTCAGCAGAGGGTCTCACACTGGACTCAATGCTCTAGGCGGAGTTGACGGTGCCATCTCTGGCTCAGGGGAGGAAGAATGGCACACTGGCCTCTCCCCGCTTGTCCCTCTTCTGCATCAGCAAGCACCCTCTCTAGGTGCGCTGCTGCTTGTGCTTCTTCCTTGGCACCAGAAATGGAGAATGGTGCCAGAAAGAACATGGCACCAAGGAAATGCTTCGCACAGATGTCAAAGTGCTTGGCACCAATTCAGAGCAGCTCTGCTCTGAGACAGGTCAGAGAGCTGTCAGCCTCCATGAGGAAAGCCTTCAGCTGAATGTCCCAGTCTTCTTTTTTTCTTCTTTTTGTGTGCAAGGTCTGAAGTCCCTGCAGATCTGGCACTTGTCCTTTACTTGGGTTTCCCCCAGACACTTTAAGCAGCTGACTTGTGGGTCACTCACTGGCACATGTTTGCCACAAGAAGGCCTGAGAACCCTGGGGCAAAGAGTCCCTTGATGACGGGTTAACTAGTCACACTACTATATACATTAACAATAAGAACTATATACACTAACTATGAACAGAGAAGAGTCCAACCACTGCTAAAGAAGCCTTGTCACAGCAAAAAGGATCATTCCAGCAACTGTCATGGGCAGTAAGAAGGAACGGAGAGGATACTGGGCCAATGGCACCCCTTACACCAGCACATACGCGCACAGTTCCAGAGGGCACTAGAGCTGGCCCAAAGGATACCACTAAGGGAAAAATCTCCAGAAACAGTGCATGTGGCATGCAAACACCTACCATAGAATGGACATGAGCAAGTACTCAAAGAATATCTTGGTCCCAATTCATAAAGAACATTTTAGAGTACAATCAGAACTTAATTCTGTTGTAAAGTAAATGGAGTAAAAGAAACAAAAGGAATGATGTATTCACAGTAGTCTTTGTTGCATATCAGGTGCACTGCTGCAAATCATAACTAGTGTGTTGCAATGTCAGAGGTTGTGTCAGTTTTATTGCAGCAGTAATCTAGCTCAGAGGTGGCTAGGCCATTTCTGAACAGAAGGGGCAGAGTTTCATGGCCAAACTGAAAATGAAAGGGAGTGTTCTTGTTGGAATTGCACATACTCCCTCATGGGATGCACCAACAGTGTGAGCTGCACTGCCAGCACAACCTGTGAATGTGAATGGGCGGAGTCAGTCTCTAAGAACTCTGGCTAAAGGTTAATTTCCCTATCATTGTGGCAATCTCCATATCCAGGAGTAGAAACAAGTCCAGCATGACACTGAGAATTGTCACCAGATAATCTGTGGTGTGCTGCCTTCAGTCATCAGTGAAGTAAGAATACTGACAAGTTCCATAGTGTTTTTCCCTTTCTACTAACCACCTGTTTTTCCTGGGTTAAATTTGAGCCAGCTATTTTTAATCTCTGATCATCTCTTCCAGGAATTAGGAAATCTATGTAATAAGGAATTAGGTTTGGATAGAAAAGTAGTTGTACTGACTAAATCGGCTCGGATGACTGTCATTTTAGTTCTCTTTATTCGGCTGATGTTATGTTCTTTACTTTCGGAATCAAAATCATCAAGGGTTCTCCATGACCATTAGAGTCCTAATGCTCATCAAGTTTTCAGTGTTTTCAGGGTCTTGCCCATAGCTGGACTATACAGGCCACCTGGACACAGGTCATCTACAGTTCCATATTAGTTTTTATTAATTTCACAGATGGTTCTTTGAAAAATATAGTTTCTTTAACACTGCCTCAAAGTTAAAACACGTTAAATCCAATTAAGAGGGAAGAGAGGAGGTTTGGATGAATTTTTGATTTTTCTAAACTGAGCACATACAAATGAGCACAAATTTGTGCTACTTTAAAAGCAAATAGATAGTGAAATGCATAACTGTCTATTTTCACAAGCAAATATGCTGCAGGTGTACAGTTGCATGCACATTTTGTGGGTTCATCTCCAAGTGCACAGTTTACATAACTGGGCACATCAGGTCCTTGACTGGACTAATTCAACTCTCTCTAACTGTATACTATTACAGTATCCCACTCTCGCACTAATTAGATCTGTTATATTATTTCTAATCATGGTCCCTGGGTTTATTACAGTTGCTTTTAAACATTGATCTATAAAATCTCTTTTTTTACTATCTATCCAGGTGCTCAAATCTGTTTACATATCTAAATCAGTGGTCTCCAACCTTTTTAAGCCCAAGATCACCTTTTGAATATAAGGGCAACCCAGGATCTACCCCGCCCCTTCCCCAAGGTCCTGCCCTGCTCACTCCATTCCCCTCTCCCTCCATCACTCGCTCGCCCCCCACCCTCACTCACTTTCACCGGGTTGGGGTTTGGGAGGGGGTGTGGACTCTGGGCTGGAGCCGAGGAGTTTGCAGTGTGGGAGGGGGCTCCGAGCTGGGGCAGGGGGTTGGGGTGCAACAGGGAGTGAGGGGTAAAAGCTCTGGGAGGGACCTTGGATGCTGGATGGGGCTCTGGGCTGGGGCAGAGAGTTGGGCTGCAGGAGGGGGTACAGAATGCTGGCTCTGGGAAGGGGTTCGGGATGCTGGCTCTAAGAGCGGGCTCAGGGCTGGGACAGGGGCTTTGAGTGCAGGAGGGGGTATGGGGTGCTGGCTCCGGGAGGGGGCTTGGGGCTGGGGTGTGGCCTCCCGCCAGGCGGCACTTACCTTGGGCAGCTCCTGGTCGATGGCACAGCAAGACTAAGGCAGGCTCCCTACCTGCCCCGCCCCACGCCGCTCCCAGAAAGGGTCAATGTACCCCTGCCCCCAGGGTGGGGGGAGAGGCACGTGGCACCATGCGCTGCCTCTCTCCGCCCCCTCAGCTCCCATTGGCCACAGTTCTCCGTTCCCGGCCAATGGGAGCTGCGGGGGGAGGTGCTTGCAGGCAGGAGCAGAGCATGGACACCCCTCCCCCCTGGGGGCATGGTGACCACTTCCAGGAGCAGCGTAGCCTGGGGCCAGGGCAGGCAGGGAGCCTGCCTTAGCGGCAGCCCCGCTACACCACTGGAGATCACGATCAATTGGGAGAGTCTCTAGGATCGACCAGTCAATCGCGATTGACAGGTTGGTGACCATTGATCTAAACCATTACATTTTGAAATATAAATCCTCATTGTTAGTTGCTTTCTTTTTTCATAATAAAATAAGGAAATATGAAATACCCCTCAAGAACTTACCAAATGTATAAGATGGTCACGTTCCTGACTTATATTCTCTGCCAAGCTAATAAGATTTGCTAAATACTGATGAGCTGCCACTTCCTTTTCCATTGCTTCTCCCAACTGCTGTTTCAGAAGACCTATTTTCTTCTGTGATCTCCTACAAAATATAAAGATAAAAACAGGAAAATCTTATTTTTAAGCACTAAATTACTGTATAGCAATTTAAAAACATTGTTTTTGGGCATATATTAGCTTTTAAACTGTACTGTCTTACGAGTCAAATCACATGTAAGGAAAGATTCTGAAACGATGATTTTAAATATAAAAGGTCAATAATCTAACCTTAGTACATTAGAAAAACATCTTACATCCTCTTTGTCAGTTTACAGGAAGACCAAACCTCTTTATCCTCTAATTTTTGGCTGTTTTGTTTCAAGCAATGAGTACTACTGAACTATCTGAATGACTAGCAAATACTGTGAAAACTTTCTTACATAATACATGGATATAAAAAGATGCTCCAGCTATTATAAATATTTTAAAAAATTCTTGTTCACTGAAATAGCTTTATCTCATGGGTATCATACAAAAGAAGTTTGTTGAGCATGGAACAATAAACTCTTTCATAACACTGAATAATTTACCAGGCTTTATTATTCATTAACTCATCATATGCAATCTGACAATTTATCTACTTTTATCAAAGACCTAAAAAATAATCAAATATTTTTTCAGATATGAACTTGCTCAGGAATCCAGGGATACCGCAAGCATCATGGCCTGTGACCATCTTGTATTCTTTCCTGATTTGATGGAGCAGGTGATCATAACAAATAATCATTCCAAGAAATGTCTTGTGATCCATGATAGCTAGAAATTCATGCTGCACACCATGCAATACAAGGGTATTCTAGCGTTCTAATAATTACAGCACTTTTTTTTTAGCTGATGGTTCAAAAAAAAAATCAACATTTCAAAATAATAATATTCAGATTATACTTTTGCATGTTCTGTTGTGCTTGCAAAAAGCATCACGGCATATGACCCAGCAAATCCGAACCATACTTTGTCTTGCATATTTTTCCTAAATTCATTTGTTCACATCTTGGAGATTTTATTTTCCTACGTTCTCTGACATTCTGTCCAGTCCATTACATACAGTCAGCCACAGTGGTCTACTATAAGTTGACGACACACATATACTTTTGTTATTTTTTTCATAGTTCTGCATAATACATGCTACACTGCAGTAGGTACTTAAATTCTATGACAATATTCCTTTTTTCTTGTGCAATGTTTGAATATTGGGCTTAATTTCTAGCTTCACAATATGCCTACAATTACTGTGATTGCTTACCTGAATCAGATAATTGGCTAATTATACTTTTCACATGCATTTTCCAGGTGCAGTCATGATAATTGTGCGTGAAAATTATATATTACAATTATTTGGCTAACATATTAAACGTCAGGCCTCTATAGGTAATACAGAAGTTAAATCATATTTCACTGGAAAGGCACACAAATTTTAGAGAATATACTTAATTGGCAGCAATAAGACTTCATGTGTCTGGAGTGGGCTGTAGGGGTTGTGGGCCAAGAATATTTTTTCAGTGAGATATTACTTTCTTTTAAAATATTAGTGTCGTGGAAGGAGATATCCAACTGAAGCAGAAAAGGAAATAGATAAACCTATTTGTCTTTTGTGCCATTTTCAGCTCTTCTTCCAGGATCTTGTTGTCAGCAACTAGGTCATTTTTCTCTAAGAGTAGGCTCTTTTTCTGTGCTTGCAATGATGCTAGTCTTTCCATTAGATCTTCCAGCTCAGCACTTTGCTTTTCCTGTTCCTGTTGCAACTGACTGCAGAAAAAGACAATATAAAATGGGTATCAAAGATCTACTTCACTGAGAAAATGGACAAGTTACATATTTGACAGTATATTATTGTTTTAGCTTACGTTTTACTTAGGTGTCAAAGATACAGATGTTAAAAACTATGCTATAAGTACATATGGCCAACAAAGCATAATGCCAATACAATTATTCAATGAAAATAGGTGTACTGGCAACCCTGCTCTAAATTGGATTTCTATGTATGCTATATAGTCAAAATGTATCCTTTTCTTGGTATTTGGTTTTACTGGTAACTCAAATAACCGCCACTAAAACTGCATGACCAGCAGTGCAGAAAGCGTGTCAATGGATTACTCGCAAAGGTAAAAACGTGCTATGACAAGAGATTAATACATTTCCCTCACACCTAGTCTTGAGCGAAAATAACTCAGCTGAATGTCATAAAACGTAATAAATTAAGTTCTAGACAACCCGAGGTTGAAAGTAAACATTCTCTCTTAAATACGTTCTTTAAAACTCAAATCACGCAATAAAATATCACAAGCCATTAAGCAAAGAACATATTTTCATGGTGGAGGCAGGAGGTAGTAAAACAGTTCTTGGTTCATTAAAATAGCTTAGCATGCATTTTTATAAGAAACTGAGACACAAATTTAAAACACACTGATGTTCGTTAACTATAATTCACTTTAAATCCCTTCACTGTCGTGTAGTTTAAAGTTCTGATATATTTCATTTTTATTATAAAAAACTAAATCTTAGTGAATGGAAAGAGAAGTAATGTTTCTGCACCAGAGGAAAAAAGTAAAAGCCTTTTACTTTTCACCAGAGGCTTGTTTGATTCAGACGTTGTTTGAACAGACTGGCTTTATCAAAGTGATGTACTCCTAGGACTTTTTCAGTTTATCTGTATCTTTCCCCTGGAGTAAGGGTTAGCTCCTGAAATATTATAGACTGTTGGGCATGACATGTTTATTGTCAACTTTTGTTTATTCTTTATGTGGTATCTTGCTAGATTTTCAAGATTTTATAAACGAGGATGGACATTTAATTGACATATCAGATTTGTTTTTCCCAATCTGTTGTACTGTAATGCTTGGCATTGCCTAGTAGTTTGTCCTAATCTCTCATACTTGAAATTGTGGAGAATGGAGAACAATAGTGTTTTCAGTTTAGGATCTGAGTATATTTTATACATTTGCTACCAAAGAAGGGAACAAAAAATTGAAAACAATTCAGAAATAGGAAAACAGCTTCTAAGGTTAATACAAATGTTAATATGAATTATCTTATTTCCAATAAAGCAGTTTTCTTATAACAAAAAGACTCCAGCATTTTACAATGCAAACTTTGCACCTTTGTGCTATGGCATGAGAACCTAAGTGAATTTTTAAAATGTAATCAAGCAATGGGAATAGTGAAAAATAAATTAGGATTTTTAAATTCAGTTTTAATTGTCTATAGTGTTACAGGTAATGACATTTGTTCTCTAAAAATATCATTCTTAAATGTTTCCCCTTGGCGGAAATTTTTTTTGTTTGTCTAAGGTGCATTTTTTGTTTTTGTTTTTATTTATACCTAGATAAAACAGCATATAAACTGTGGGTGAAATCCTGGCTCTATGAACTGAATGGCAAAATGCCCATTGATTTCAATGGAACCAAAATTTCCTCCATGTTTTTATCAGTCTAAAAAATTAAGTTAACAGTTTTCTAAAATAGTATTGCTCCACCTTCTTTGTACTCTGCCAGCTACCTTAACAACATCTGGATCGTGATGGAAAAGAACACTGGGGATTGGGTCCTGGTGCGGCAAAGGGATCTGTATGGGTACTTTGCAGGATCGGGGCCTTTCACACCACTTGTCTGTATACAATATGTAGACCCATACCTTCTTAATGCATTTACCAAAGCAACATGCTCCTTTGCTGTTACTCTGTCATTAAGATTGGCTTTCAGTTCTTCACATGTGGAGCATAAAGACTTCAGCTGCTTCTGATTCTCTGATATCTCCTCTTCCTGGCTCTGTTTCTTAGCTTCCAAAACCATTAGCTGTTTGGTCAATTTTGAAACTTCATGGGGGGGAAAAAAAAAACTGTTGACACAACAGAACTAATTCACTAATCAAGTCAAAATTATAATTAAAACAATAGGACATTATTTCATAGATGCATTAAGCCCTGTGCCAACTTGACTTGGCTTGTCAAATTAAGTATTGCAATGCTTTTATGCTATGGCTCCTGCTATCTGTCAAGCAGTTTATCGAGATGCTAGTCTTATCCACAGTTAAGAATAAAGAGAAAATCCTTATGTTATAGGCCTGAGTTTCACTAACTTCTGACTTGGCCAAAAGTAAACCTCAACCAACCCACCTGAAATTTCATGGGTATGTTCTTATGCCAGGGCAGAGGAGGGGTTGGTTGGTTGTTTCCTGGAAGATTTGGGGCAAACTGGAGAACTGTTTGGAAGATGAGAGTGAGTGAGTGAGTATTGTGACAGGGTCGGGCCAGATGGCGACAGGAGAGTGACCCTATTGGGATCCAGGAAGTGGGGGGGCAAAGCCCGTCCACTGCTAAAGGATCCCCCCACAGCCTAAGAGGGGGATCCACAGGACCTGGACACCAAATAAATCCGGGGGACAACTAATGTGAAATAACAGGGACAGGAGTGTGGTCAAAGGTCAAACTAAGGGAACCGGACGGGGACACCGAGCAGAGAACCCCGGACAGCACCCACTGCTCCTCGAAGGCGTCAAGGGAGTCAGTGGACGCCACCCAGAGGAACTCTGCCCAGATACGTGAACGGACCAAGGATCGGAAATAGGCCCCACAGACACAGGAGACTCCATCGGTCAACCTCCTCACTCTGGTTTTATAGATGGCCATTTTAGCTAGGGCCAGGAGGAGGCTGACCAAGAGATCCCGTGACTTTGTGGGGCCACGGATAGGGAGTGCATAAATAGGAAGGTGAGGGGAGAAGTGCAACCAAAAACGTAATAAAATATTTGTGAGGAGCCGGAATAGGGGCTGCAGCCTGGCACACTCCAGATATGTGTGCCAGGGTTTCCCTCATGCCGCAAAAGGGGCAGGTGTCTGGGACAGAGGTGAACTGCACCAAGAACACGCCCGTGCTCATGGCTCTGTGAAGGAGCCGCCAACTGATATCCCCAGCGGGCCTCGGGACCAAGGTGGAATATAGGCTGGCCCACCGGGGCTCCACACCCTCCAAAGTTGGCAGGAGGTCCCGCCATTTTGTATCAGGGCGGGACACCAGGGTGAGGGAGTGTAGGGTGTGGAGCACGAGCGTGTATAGATGTTTCCTTGGCGCAGTTTGGAAACAGACCGGCTGCAGCTCGTGCAGCCGGCTCACAGTGAAGGGGTGAGGGTGTCGGTTGGGTCCACGGGGTAGGGGCCCAATTAAAAGGTCCAGCTGGCCTGTGGTAGAGGGTGGGCGGGGCGCGCCCTCATGTAGGACCCTGTCGAGGTAAACTCGAGCAGCGGGTGGCAAAGCGGCTTTCACCTCCTGAAGTACGCGCCAGGGAGTACAAGGTCTAGAGAGCCCCATGCACTGAGCAAGCGTCAGGGGATCCAGCCAGTCTCCCTGGACATAGTCCAGGAGGTCTCTGACTCCTGTGACTTCTGCCAAGACCAACCTCTGGCGCACTGAGGGGGACTCCGCCACCTGCACGCGAAGCTGGGGGTTGTGTAGCAGGGGCTCCGCGAGGAGATCTGCCCCCTCGGTGGCCGCCATGGACCTGGTCGTTGAAAACAGTTTCCAGGTCCGGAGGAGGTCCTGGTAGAAGACCGGCAGCCAGGAGAGGTCTCGCGGAAGACCTCTCGGATGGAGATAAAGGAGCTGCCGGTCATATCGGAGCCCTCAGAAACGGCACAGGAAGGCATGCGCCAGTATGCTCCAAGCCGGACTACCTGCACCATAAAGGAGCCTCTGCAGGGCCTGGAGGCGGAAGACATGGACCTGAGTGTGCAGACATTTCAGGCCCTGCTCTCCCTCCTCCAGGGGTAGATGAAGAACCCCTGCAGGGACCCAGTGCAGTCCTGATCAAAAGAACACCAGAATCCATGTCCGGAGGGTGGCTAGGAAACCCGGGGCCGGGACCAGGGTGTTGAGCCGGTACCAGAGCATGGACAGGACTAGCAAGCACCAGCGCTCTCCCTCAAAGGGAGAGGCACTGGAGTAGTCCTGTCCATTTCCGGAGCCACTCTATCACCCCGCCCTCTAAATTGTGCCAGTTCTCCGGCGGAGAGGGATGTGTGGCAGAAAGGTAAACGCCGAGATAGAGCAGCGGACCCGCGCTCCACCGGATGGCCTGAAGCGTGGGTGGGAGGGAGCTCGCCTGCCAGCCGTTCCCGACCACCAGGCCAGAGCTCTTGACCCGGGTGGAGGAGGCTGCCGAACAGATGGCCTGGCAAGCCTCCACCCGCACCAAGTCTCCCGGGTCCTGGACCACAAGGAGCATGTCATCAGCGTACGCCGACAGGACCAGCCGCAGCTCCGGCTCCCGCAGCACCAACCCTGTCAACCTCCTTTGGAGGAGACAGAGGAAGGGCTCAATTGCCAGAGCATACAGCTGGCCCAAGAGGGGGCACCCCTGCCGTACTCCTCGCCCGAAGCTGACCGGTTCAGTCAGGGTCCAGTTGAGCCTGACCAGACACTCTGCAGAGGCATACACCGCCCGGAGAAAACCCACGAACTGGGGTCCGAAGCCAAACGCTTGCAGACTGCTCAGGAGATACCCGTGATCCACCCTGTTGAACACCTTCTCCTAATCCAAGGACAGGAGGGCGAACGACAGACCATCCCTACACCCGAGTTCCAAAAGGTCCCCGACTAGATATAGGTTATCAAAGATGCCGCGGCCCGCGACTGTGTAGGTCTGGTCTGGGTGGACCACATCCGCCAGCACGGACCTTAGCCGCAGCGAGATTGCTTTTGCCACAATTTTGTAGTCCATGCTGAGGAGCGAGACGGGACGCCAATTTCGTAAATCGTGGAGGTCCCCCTTCTTCGTCAATAAGGCAAGCACAGCTTGCCTGCACGAAAGAGGGAGGACCCCACTCTGCAAAGACTCGGCCCAGACGGTGACTAGGTCTGGGCCGAGGATGTCCCAGAACACACGGTAGAGCTCCACGGTCATTCCGTCCATGCCCGGAGATTTATTGGTGGGCATGCGATGGGGGGGCTTCCGAGAACTCTGCCAGAGTGAGAGGCAGCTCAAGCCGGTCTCGGCCGCCCACACTGACCATAGGAAGCTCCTCCCAGAGCACTCTGCAAGAGTTAGGATTGGTCGGATCCGGGGAGAAAAGGCTTGCGTAAAAAGGCTCTTGCCCTCCCACACATCTCCACCGGATCCGTGAGGGGGGTGCCATCTTCTGCCAGAAGGCAGGTGACGTGTTTCCTGGCCCCCCTCCTTTTCTACAGGGTGTAGAAGAAGCGGGAGCCGCGATCCAACTCCAGAAGGAGGCGGATGCAGGATCGAACAAAGGCATCCTGGGCCCGATGATCCTCGAGGGCCCGGAGCTCCTCCCGCTTCTCCCGGCCCACTGCGCAGAGGGGCAGATCCTTGGAGCTGGTGGCCAGATGCCTCTCCAGCTCTAAAACCTCCTGTTCCAACTGCTATATCGCCGCATCCCTCCGTCAGCTGGCGTCCCGGGTGTAGTCACGGCAGAAGAGCCGGGCGCGCACCTTCCCCAGGTCCCACCACCGCCGCGCCGAGGGAAAGGCACGCCGCTGCCCTCGCCAGGCCAGCCAGAACTCCCGGAAGGACGTCACGAAGCCCATATCCTCTAACAAGCTGTTGTTGAAATGCCAATAGGCCGGCCCCGGCCTCTCCGCACAGAGGGAGGCCTTCACAGTGGCTAAATGATGGTCAGAAAATGGGGCCAGCCGGATACTGGAGGAGTGGGCTCATGAAAGGTGGAAACATGATAAATAAATGCGGTCCAACCGGGAGTGGCACGACAAAGGTGAGCCTCCACCCGGACAAAGGTGAACGTGGAAATGTCACCCGGGTGGTGGTCGCGCCAGACGTCCACTAGGGAGTGGTGTTCGACTATCTCCCGGAGGACATCCGCTGCGGCCGGGCACTGCTCAGTCCCCCTCCTCAAGGGTGTTGTTGAAGTCCCCACCCAGGACCAGGCACTCATGAGGATCCAAGGTGCCGAGGAAGGCAGACGCCTGCTGATAAAATTGCAGCCGCTCCAGGCCCGATGGGGCATAGAAGTTCATGAGGTTGACCACAAGCCCCTCCATATGGACCCAGAGGTGCAGCAGGCGCTCCGGCACACCCTCGGCGACCCTCAGCACCTCGAGCCGTAGGCTGGGGGAGAACAGGGTCGCCACTCCAGCCGTACGAACTGTGAGATGGCTAAAGTAGACCCTGTCCCCCCAATCCAGCCGCCAGCTGTCTTCGGGGGTCGGATCCGTATGGGTCTCCTGCCAGAAAACCACAGAATACTCCCCCCTCGAAGGAAGGAAGAACACCTGGGACCTGCGGAGACCTATCCTACAGCCCCGAGTGTTCAATGTTGCGATGGTGAGAGGTGCCATGAGGAGGGCTGGGGGGGATCCTTACCGGCAGGGATGTTCGCAGCTCCCGACGGGCCGTGCAACAGTCTGTGACCTACCCCATAAGTGAGTAAGGAGTCACGGAAGAGGCGGACCTGCTGGTAGGCCGTGGCAGCCTGCTTCCCGGTCCTTTTACCCTTCCCCATGAGGGCCCTCGCGGCCCGGAGGATTTGATGAAAATCCCCCCATCACTGGAGAGCAAGCTGTACCTTGTTGCGGGAGCCACTGACGTCTTTTAAAAACTCCTGCAACTCCTCTCGTAGCGCATGGGGGCGTGGGGTTATGGTCTCCTGGTTATCCCGACGGGGCCCTTGGTACAGCCCTGTGGCTCACCGAGACAGGCAGACAGGGTGCAGACCCCCGACGGGGCGCCTGATGGACTGGCGCCACTAGGCCTGCCTCAAACACTGGGGCAATAGGGGATGGTGAAGGGAGGATAGCAGCCCCTAGTGGGTCGGGACAGGGAAACACAAAGGCTGTTCCCTGGGGGTCATCTACTGGAAAAGGGAAGGAGACAGCCCCAGGGGCAGCAATAACATCACGGGAGGTGGACGGGATAGGGACACGGTTTGGGGCAGAGGCAAGATTCTGGACTTCAGAATCCAAGCAGCTGGATGGTGACATCTCCCGATCAGGCTCAAGGGTTAAGGGGGTGTGGAGGGGGCTCTCAGCGATGCTGGGCGCAGGCTCTATGGTGGGTTTGGCAGCCACGGCATCAGGAGGTGGACTATCTTCTGTAGGGCCCCCACCTGGGAAGGAGGTTGATTGCTCCACACCAACGAGGGGTGCCCCTAACGGCTCGGGTCCCGGCCGCGTAGCACTGGCCGTCGCCTCAACAGGCTCCGTGGCAGTCAGCGGGGTGCCATCTGCGGCCGGGTTGATGGAGGAGTCCAGGGGCTCCTTGGTGGTGGGAGCGAAAGCAACGGTTAGAGGGAGGGAGCATGGGGAAAGGGGGGCTGGAGTGAAGTCACCCAGATCGAGGCCCGCTGGCATAGGGTCGTCCTCCCCCTGGGTGACCGGGGTCAGACCTAGGGCCTCAGTCTCCTCGTATATGGATGGGAGATCGCTTTCCGCCACCCTAAGGTTCTCCCTGCCGGCACCTGACACGACGGTTGCCTCGGGGCTCACAGAGGCTTCAGATGGTACCAGGGCAGGAGGGGCTACCTCGGAGGGGAGGGACTCCCACGGAGGGGAGATACTGCCTTCCAGTGCTGCCACGACTTCCCCAGCCGGCACCGTGGATGGAATACACCCGTGGGCAAAGCGGAAGGCTTGGCATCAGTGCCCCCCCTTCCTGGTCTTCCGGGGGGCCTCCGCATCAGATGGGAGGAGCGGAGCTCAAGCCTTCCGCTTGCCCCGCTTCCCCTGTACTAGGGCCCAGCCCTCCATGGCATCATCCGGGGGCTGGCTAGCAGGGATCATGTCAGGGGGTAGAGGCGATGGCTCAGGGACTCAGGGGGGGCGGGAGGGACCTTGCCATACATTTTGGAGGCCGCCACAATGGCCATGGGCCCCAACACCCTTGCCAACGCCCACATGTAGGTCTCCACATGGGGCAAGGCAGGCACCAGGAGGCAACCGACTTCCTGGTTATGGTGGGAAAGGGGCCCCGGCTGCTATAGATGGTAGTGGAGGAGGTGGGCGGGAGAGATAACATAGTGGCAGGCGGGGGGGGCTGCCGCCACCTGGGCGTATGCCCTGGGGGCCAGGGGAGGGACACTCGCAGAGCTGGTGGAGGGAACAGCGGGGAGGGACGCCGTGGCCGGTGCTGGGGCCACGGCAGTGGGGGCAGCCCCTGCCATGGAGGGCCTGGTCTTTTTAGCAGGACCCTTCCCCTTCTTCTTATCCTGGCCCTTTCCGCTAGCTGGGAGTGCTCCCCCAGAATCTGAGGGGTGAGGGTCGTGGCAGCAGCAGAGGTCACCCTGGTGCCCGCTGCTGCTGGCGCCCCAGGAGGGGTGGTGGCAGGTGGTTCAGAGGCGGCAGCGGAGGTAGAGGCTTGGGGAGGTGATGGAGGGGCAGGCGGGGGAGGGGCAGCTGGGGCTGCTGGAGGGGTCCCACCCGTCTCGTTCTCCGCCGTCATGAGTGGGGAGGGAAGGGGAGACACCAGAAGGAGGAGGAGAAAGGGGAAGCAGGTCGACCACTCCTCTGTCTGGGGTTCTCTGCTTGGTATCCTCCTCTGGATCCCTGATTCTTTACCTCAGATCTCATCCTACTCCTGTTGATTCATTTGCTGTCTTCGGTATTCAACTGATGCCTGAGTCCAGTGGTTCTTGCTCATTAATTGAGGGGGAGGGCCTTTAGTTTTGGGAAGGCCTATGCTGGCCCATCCCCAGTAATTCAAATTGTACAGTCCAAGTAAGTAGCAATTGAAGTATCTTACCTTCCTGAAGATGTTGGTTGTAACTTTCCTTTGCTTTAGCCTGCTGAATTTCAAGTTGCTCCATCAACACTCCATTTTCTTCCAAGACCAGCTTTGCCTGAGTTTGCAGCTGCTGCCTGTGATGATGATTGATTTAGAAGTAACGTACCACTCAAGCATTAGTAAGTTAAATAATTAAAAGAAGACACAGAAATGAACCCTGCATTAATTTTAGACTGGTATTTGCATCCTTCTGTTCAAAAAGCTTACTGAAGATAATGAGCGAATCCAGATTACTTTAAGGTTATTAGAGTGCAATTATTACATTACAATGTCATTTTCATATGAAAATACCTCCTTAAAAGTAGGTTTTACTTTCTAGAATGTTGAAAACAAAGTATGAATGAAGTCGGAAAATGCAATGACAATGCAGAAAAAAAGAGTGAATGTGACAGATACGGCAATTTCCTGAATATCCCTGAAAGACCTTAATGAATTAAATTTAAGTATCTTTGGGGTCCATTATATTAAATGGGTAGTTTATATATTATTACAGGCTGGGATTGTATGTAGCCTCTCAAAGGAGATGTGATAGATATGTGACCTGGGGGCTCAGAGGACTATATTGAACAATGTGCCAGACAAGAATGGACTCTTGGAAGAAAACACAGTAACTGGTTTTCCTGGGGAATATCTAGGGGGAGGTGAAAGCAAATTCCCCACCCTCACCACAGTTATGCAGAGACCCAGTCTTTTGAAACTGTGCCTCTGAGGAGTGAGCCATTGTCTGCTGTTCACCTATTACATGAGGCCATGATCAAAGGCCCAAGCTGTATAAAGGAAAGACTGACCTATTCATGATTGTTCTTGTTCTGAATCTGAAACAGTTATGAACTTGTAACCACAGGAAAACCCAGCTATGGGTTTTGAAGGACTGACATCTACCAGAGCCTGAGGTTGGAGTTGGTGTGACTTCTGGTAAGCTTTTCAGCATGCATGTGAGTTCTTTTATTGTTTTAATGTTTTCTCAGTAATGCTTTCACCTTAAGAATAAATGTTTAGAGAGAACTATGTGGGAGCTTGTTGGTGCCCTTGAGGGACCACAGAGTGGGTATAAAGGTGCAGTTGCCCTGATCTGTGATAATGTATATTTGAATTAAAGCCAGATGGCTCTCATTTGTGCCAGACGCATGAAGGAGGGGATAGCCAAATGCTTAATACTGGATCACATAAAATATTTCTTAGGACTTGCTAAGTCATCAGTTCATGGCTTATAGATCTAGAAATAGTTGCCAATGCTAGTCATATAAATGCTATTTATGGGACTCTGAAAAGAAAGCCTTTTAATCTTAGCTACCTCTAGCATACAACTGACCCTTTGCTCTATACTAGGCTTTAATGTAGCCTTCTAGAAAGCAAATAGAGTCTTTTTGCTGTTAGGAAAAGTCTAAGGAACTATTTATGTTCTGACGTGATAGCTGGAAAAGTAGAGAAGTATTGTCCAGGATGCAAGCAGAGATATAAGAAATGTGGACACTTTGAAGACAAATGAGATGCAGTTCATTTGTTTGTGATCACCTGATATATCATACAAAGCCTCGGTTACAGCAACCACCAAATCAATTAGCTAGACTTTACCCAGTCATAAGATAGAGGGCTAATGGTTATCAATATTAACAAAAGTTTATAGATGTGACCAAAACAAGAAAAAAGTGGCCTTATCCTATATAGCATGTTGCAGTGTGCACAGCTTGATAATACTGTCTGTTACCATACATGAGTGGAGAGTGCAAAATGACTATGAGTACGCAGCAGCACAGGCTGTAGAAGGCCATGCAGGACCTGGGTATGACCTCGAGCAGCTAGACAGTGCTGCTGCAGCTTCAATCCTATTGGTGTTTGAGACAGATAGATAAATCAAAGCTAGGTCGGATATGTCTACACACTTGGCAATCACACTTCTGATTGCAGTGTAGATATATTCTGTACTCTCATACTTGTCTAACTAGATCATGTAAATGTAGTGTGAGTGTTCATAAATTTAATTGCAACATGTTTGGATCAGGTTGCTTGTGGATGCCCCAAACGCATCCTGGTGGCCACTAGTCATTTGACCTTAAAATATGAAGCTGAGGTTTGACCACATAAGAATGCACCAATGATCATAGTTGTCCTGAAGATTCCTACAGTTCTGGCTGGCAAATTGGACCGATGGTGACCAACACCAAAATTATTCTAAATCTGGTGGGGAAATCTAGATAATAAAAATTGCCTCCCTCTCCCCAATATTTTGCTACTAATATGAAGGTGGGATTAAGTTGCTAGCAGTTTTTTCCAAAGACTTCTGAAATTTGGGGAAGGGATCATAAGCAGCCACCCCCTGAGATTTCTGAAGTCCCTACTAATGGGCTAGTGCCCCCCACCTGTGAACTAAGCTCTGCCGTTCATCTCAGGCCACCAGAAGAGTTCTTCTGCGGTAAAAACACTCCAACAATTAATTATTAGCATTAAGAAAACTTGATATAATGTATTAAATTAGACTTAAGTCTATGTCTGTCTCCCTTTAGAGAGAATTACCAGACTAGTAGGGTAAGTTGAATTCAGAGAGCTGCTAACAGAAAAAAAAATTACCAGGTAAGAAATTTCTCATTTTGTTGCACAGTTTCTTTCCTCATCCATTACTAAAGGGAAGTAGTAAGCAAGAAATCCTAGAAGCAGGGAGAGAAAGAATAAGCAGAGTTTAATTTATAGTAGAATGACAGGCAGGAATGGAATTCTCCCCACCCCATATAAAGGAAGAACTTCATAAACTAAGGAGTAATGTGGGAACCAACCCAGTAGTACCTTCCTACAAATGGATGAATCTGCGAAGGAATGGAAACTTACTTCGCAAAGTTTTTCAGATGTGGCTCATACATTATCCATCAGTGCTTCTAGGGACTGCTGTGAATAGTTTCCCAGATACCTAGAATGCCAACTGGTGCAGGATTTTCACATCTTGTCTGCAGCAACTTTGAGACTTAAGGCCTTGGCATTTTGGATAAAATGAGATGAACAGGGTACAGTTGGCATATGTACTCCAATTTACAGTTCTAGGAATGCCCATTTTATGCCACAACCTTCCAAGAGTTACAACAAAATGATGGCATTCCAAGAATAGTAGAAAGAGAGAACTTACTTTAAACAGAGGTTTCTAGAGCTATAAGAATATCCTTTTCCTCATAATAAAAGCAGTATGGTTCTTGTATAGATCATCTCCTTTCTCCCAACACCAAGGTTCAGTAGGGCTGATGAGTAGATCCCATCCATATCTGCTTTGAGCCACCATTTGGGCTTGTTGGGGTGTTGCCTGGATGGTTTTATACACCATGTTATACCACTGTCTCCTTGGATGTCCACTGCTTCTCTCTCCTTGCACTATTCCACAGAAAACAATTTTAGGCAGTTGGGAGGGGGTTATTTGAGCAACATGGCCAAACCATTGCGGTTGTTGCCTTGTAATGACTGTAGTCACACACTGCACTTTCAGTCTTCTCTAGATGTCATAATTTCTTAGCCTGTCTAGCCTTTGTCAAACCTAGAATATGTTTGAAGCTTCTGCTCCAGGTGCATTGTCGGTACCCATGTTTCACACTCAAAGTAATGGGAGTACAATGAGAATTGAATATAATCTGTCTTTAGCGATTATACTGATTTAAGGCTACAAACATTTTTATTCAGGCTACAAACATTCTGCTGGAAGTAGCTACCCGCTTGTTGATATCATTCATCTTCATAGCAGTTGTCATAGGTTATGATGGAACCCAAGCAGCAGAAACGGTCTACTTGTTTGTCTACACCATAATATCTAGTTTAACGTGTTCTTTACGATTAGTTTGATGTTTTGTTCATTCATATTTAATCCCCATTCTCTGGCTGTTATATACAGGTTAGTTGCTGCTTCTTGGTTGTATTCCTCCATAGACATTATCAATACATTGTCTGCAAAGTCAAGGTGATTGATAATTTGCCCCCAACATTTTGCGGCCTCCACCAATGTTACTAAAGGAGTTGAACAAGATGTTTTTCTAAATATAGAGCAAAAAGTACTGGACTGAGTACATTTCCCTGCTTGACTCCAGTTTTCACTGCAAATCAGACACTAATACATACTGCGTGCCAAGCTATGCCATAGAGACTCTACAGTATTTGAATCAACTTGCTGCTAAAAACATACCACTTGAGTGCCTTCTACAGAGTCTCTCTGTTAATGGAGTCAAAAGCCCCAGCAAATACTCCATGAGGGAGAGAAGGGAATAGAAAAGACATTTAACCCCTAATTTCCGCCCCAATTATTCATTAACCATATTAATTGCTGCCTTGAAAAGGACACATTTGTTTTTTCCTTTTGGGGACTCAGACTCTCTGGGATTTGCAAGACTTCCCCTTGAGTATCCTGAGAATCCCCCAATTTCCAGTGCAAAGAAGAGGAGCTGTGGAGGAGTCCTGCTTCTTTCCCTAGGGAGCAGAGGACCCACTTTGGTTTCTGGAGGAAGACTCTGGATCCTTTCCAGAATTCCCCTCCCCTTCCATTCCAGACCTGTTGTGAGACTTATCCCTGAGTTGGCCAGATAACTTCTTCCTCATCCTTAGACTCTTTTACCAAAAGCTCAGAAGCTCCTGAACAGGCTTGCTTGTACTGGAGTCCCAGTTCCTTGGGGCAGTGGGGGACTGACATACCAGTCTGACTCTGAGCACCATAACCTGGCACTGTGCAATATGAGGGTCAGCTAGCTGGGTACAGGCAGGGCACAACTGATCCTCTGTAGAGCCTGTAAAAGCTGCCTCACACAGGGAACACCACCTTGGATTTAAGCCAGGTGTTTGCAGGACAGTTCTGACATACATGCCTGAGTGGGAGGAGAGGAGTCCAGCAAATAGGTGCTGAAGTAGCAGATCCAAGTTGCTATTTACCCAATCTCGGGGGAGGGAGAAATATAAATTGCAACTAAATGAAAACCAAATAAAAGGTTTTAAAACAAAATGGTTGGAAGAAACTGAATCGCAAATTTGTTCTACCACCAAAGGCAGAAAATCTGAGTGGCCAGAGTTGAAGGGCAGAGCTTAGTCCTGGAACGTCCAGAAACAGCACTGTATGGCCTCCAAATTCCACAGGTGGGGAGCATTTGTAATGAATGAGGAGAGAAGCAGTGCAACAGAAATAGTCAACTCTGGTAAAGTTGAATAATTTCTGAATAAACTTAAAATCAAGTCAAGTAAGCTTAGTTAATTAATTCATTAAAACATTTGAGAGAGAGTTTTACAGAGAAATGGTTAGTGTACAGTGTACATGGACTCTCTTTCGGGATCTGAAGTTCACTTCAAATTAGATCAAAGAGACTGAAAATCATTCTGATCTATTGTCCTAGAAAGATCAGATACCATGAAGATTTGTACATTGGACAGATCTTAACTAAAGTGTATCAAATGTACAAAATCTTTCCTACTGGTATTGTGTATTTGACATTAGGGACTAAGTTTCAAAATCATAATCCCATCTACTTACATGGAGCCAGGATTTCACCCATCATGTTTATATGCTCTTAAAAGTCTGTTTGTATGAGAGTAGCATAATAAAAGTACTTTTTCACTAATTTATAATAAATACAAACAAAATCCACTTGCCATTCCTTCAGGGTAACAGAACTATTTTTATTTAATTGCTGGTGCAGTTGTTCATTCTCCTTCACCAGTTCTTCAACTTGTATCCTAAACTTCCTCATGTCCTCCTGGAATACAAATGAATTCACATAAAAATCTCAAAATGTACATATTTTGCTTCAGCCCCATGCTATCAGAAAATTTTTTATTCACTTTTATCTGAGTGCATTTATATCATGCATGTAAGAACAGCAGATTGGTTTACTTGACTGCCCATCTTTAACTCAGCTTGTTAGTGTCAGTGCTGCTGAAGGAAGCATATCCATACCTAAATTGAAAATTGCTTAACTGATTTAAATATAATTTAGTAAAAAATATATGCCTTTTCTGTTAAAAAAAAAAAAAAGGTTTTGGCTTCATGTCCTAGGAAACAACAAAATTACAACCTCCTGAATAATGGAGGTTTATTGGAGTTACCAGATGATGCTATTAATTTTCAATATACTTGATTATGAAAATATATTATGGTGAACATACAAGAACAGAGCCCTAGGTGTCTTCTGTTCTTCTTCCTCACAAGGATGAAGTTGGTAAGCAGAATATTGAAAGATACAAGACTTTTGCTCTGAGGCTGAAATTTATTTCCTTGCAGTTGGCCCAAAATACCATGTTGTAGGGAGTAATGAACACAGCAGATGCATGGGAAAGCTTTGCAACTTGTGTCCATTGCAGAGGGTTGGTTCTGTGCTCACTCTAAATTAACCAGTCATTGTTTTCAATAGATTCAGTGGCCAAGAATTCTCCCTGAGAGCTTCTCCCTGCCAACTTTCTGATTGCAGAAAACTGAACAACCTTGCCCTGCCCGCTTCCCCACCCTTTCTCCGAGGCCACATCCCTGCTCACTCCATCCCCCCTGCCTCCGTTGCTCACTCACTCATTTTCACTGGGTTGGGGTGCACGAGGAGGTGAGGGCTCTGGCTGGGGGTGCGGGGTCTGGGGTGGGGCTGGAGATGAGGGGTTTGGGGTGCAGGCTCCGGGCTGGGCTGAAGGGTTCAGAGTGTGGGAAAGGGCACCGGGCTGGGGTAGGGAATTGGGGTGTGGGAGGGGGTACAGGCTCTGGACTGGGAGAGCAGTCTCCTGTGTGGGACCAGAAATGAGGGGTTCAGGATGCGGGAGGGGGCTCTGAGCTGGGGCTGAAGGGTTCAGAGTATGGGAGTGGACTCAGGGCTAGGGTGTGGGTGCAGGGAGGGAGTTTGGGTGCGGGAGGGGGCTCAGGGCTGGAGGCTCGGGGTTGGAATGCAGGAGTGGGTGTTCGGGGTGTCGGCTCTGGGAGGTGCTTACCTCGGTCGGCTCCCAGAAGCACGGCATGTCCCTCAGCCCCTAGGCGCAGGGGTGGCCAGCGTTCTCTGCGCGCTGCCCCTATCCGCAGGCACCGCCCCCGCAGCTCCCATTGGCTGCTGTTCCCAGCCACTGAGAACTGTGGAGCCATCGCTCAGGGCAGCATCTGCGCTGCAGGCAGGGGCAGCATGCAGAGCCCCACTGGCCACCCTTGCACCTAGGAGCTGGAGGGACATGCCAACCACTTCCAGAAGCCACGCGGAGCCGGCTGTTGCAGCCAACTAGACTTTTAACGGCCGACAGGAGCCACGAGGCTCCTTTTTTGACCTGGCATTCTGGTTGAAAACCAGACGCATGGCAACCCTACCAGAGAGGGTGGAAGAAGGCAGTGATTACTATTAAAACCTCTGGCTTGAATAGCAGAGGCTGCAATGTAACCTTACAGTCTTCCCTATTGGTTGCCAACGGTGAATTCTTTCCTTCCCAAACTGCAACTGAGACCTCTGCACAAAGTCTATTTACTCTGGTTTTCACCGAGAGGACAATTCTTGTACATCTCAGTGCTCTACCAGCTCACAGAAACAAAATAGAGAAAGCTGGCAGAAAAAAAATGATTGCATAATGTGTATGCAAGCCAAAAATCAGTGCAAAGTTCGTTCTAATTTTAGGCCTCCAACAGCTTTGACAAGATCCCTTTAAAGATTTCAACAGTTTGTGATGTGTTCCTATTTTTTTCCACTTTACTGTTAATTTTTTTTAATTATTTGCCAACTTGCCTCATGTGCAAGATTTAAATCTTCCTTTTCTCGCATTCTGTCTTCATATGCCAGTAGGAGAGGTGACAAATATTTCATATCCAGCTGAAGGAAAAGACCCAATGTATTTTAATCCACGGAAATATATTTGAAAACATATTATAAATATTTTAGGTTCCTTTTTAGTTCCATATTTAACTTTAATGTAGTCAGATTCAAGCCAGAGTTTAAGTAAAATGAATGACTATGCTGAAAATGTAGAACTCCGCATAATACAGAGGCCAATAGATTGTATAAAAATTGATGAAAAGATTAATTTTTATAAGCAGAAAATTAAGGCCTGATTTTACATGATGTTATGTGCTCTCAACTCCCATTAAGTTCATCTACAGGTGATTTCAATGGGAGTTCAAGGGACCCACCAGCTCATAGAATTCCTTATGATGAGAAATATAAAAGACACTGTACATTGATTCACAAAACTCAGAACACCATTAACTTCAACTTAGTACCTCCCAGGAGATGGCTCAGCACTGCAGGTTCAGTCTGTGTGTTAAATTCTGGCTCTAGTAGGCATTTGCAAGCAGGAAAAGCCACAGCTGAGAGAGAACTGCTCAACTGGTGAACCTGAACCAGTCCTGGCTAGCTAAAAAACAACAGACCTCACACTCCGCAAGTCCTCCATGGTTCTGATTGTGAAGGGGTGTGGTCCATTTTAGCATACACCCACTGAGTGAACCCCAATGCACTCACCTTGCTTGAATTACTTGTGCTCTTGGTATGTGTACACTGTGTAGGCAGAGGTGCAGGGATTATGCAAGCATTCACAGGCCAACTGGAATGTCCACATTTTCCTTGGACGTTATTAAGCCAATTATTGGTAAAGTTTGATCCTGCTTAGTTTATGAGATCTGATAAAACCACACACCAAGGTGCTATGGCTACAAACTGAGAACATCTTTTTCACTACCCTGCCAAATTCTAAATTCAGGACTTAATTTTAAATACATGAACGGCATCATTGACTTAAGCACCTTCATAAATGCATTCTGGTCCATACATCTAAGAAGATGGAGGAAGGACTTTTCCTGCATTTTTGATATTGTTTAGTGTCTGACTAAATATAGAAGGGGGGGGGAGAATCTTGAATTTAAGATTTGGCTAGAAAATTGAGACACTTGGTTTTAAATATTAGATAAATATGTATTTTATAAAATCTGTATAAGTATTTTGTTACTCTTTTAAGATTACCAACTTTTTAAATACTGTTTTTCATAAAAATTTGCAGTTCTTCTTTAGGGAGCATATACTTTCTGCAGTACCTGGATAAAATATGCCATTTGTCGTAATTTGAGCTGTGATTTTTTATAGCACTTGAATAATTTAAAAAATACAGTTAATCAACAGTTCCTGCAATTACATTATATATTGGAGAATATCAAACAATGGCAATTTTCTCCACTTCTCACTAATGTGTTTTTGAATGAAGGCCATAACTCACAATAACTTCAATAGCAGATGTACATGTTTACTTGAAGGGCTGAATTTTGCCATCTATCTTAAATCATAGTATAAACATTAATAAATGCTCATCTTCTCATAACTGCTAGCATGTAGTAGCTCAGCACAGTATCCAAACAATATTCTGTTGATTTAAATATTTCTGTTTCAAATTTATTCGGAAACTACACAAATTTTAGAAAAAGCTAAGATTAAATACAACAATTAACCAATATATAGTAAAGGTAAAAAAAAATGATTTACTTACCAGCCAGGGAGGTAGTGGCCCTTTCGTTGGCAAACCTCCAATTTTTATATTCTAAAATAATTTTTAAAAATTGGAATTCAAATTAAACTGTTTCTGCTTTTTGATTCCTCAAGAATTGTCCATTCACAAACCATATGACTCATAGGAATCTTTATACTCAGACACATGTTTCTAAGTAGATAATATGTATAGTACTTAGATTCACCAAAACTGAGACTTTCTATTTTTTAATTGATATAACGTAAAGCATAATTTAATATAGGCTACTTTACTGGTAAATTCTCAAATTAATTTTTATAAATATCTGTATCAATCTGAGAATTTAAGATAAATCTGGAGAGTATAATCCTATAAAAGGAACTCTAAATAGAATGTAGGATTACTGGTAAATTTTGACAGGTTTCAGAGTAGCAGCCGTGCTAGTCTATATTTGCAAAAAGAAAAGGCGTACTTGTGGCACCTCAGAGACTAACCAATTTATTTGAGCATAAGCTTTTGTGAGCTACAGCTCACTTCATCGGACGCATCTTATGCTCAAATAAATTGGTTAGTCTCTAAGATGCCACAAGTACTCCTTTTCTTTTTGGTAAATTTTGGTGTGAAAAGAAGGATTATTTGAACCATAACATAAATAGGTCATGGTGAGGAAACCATTCCTTCCATGAGTTTATCTTAATGAGAAAAGGATTTAAAAAATCTCTACTGAAGGCAAAGGGGTATATTTTCCACCAGAAGCACACGCACAGTTTCAATTAAGCATTAAATCAAGTTGCCATTTTGATGTATCTGAAATTTATACAGCCCCCATTACCATAGTAACTGAGCATCTCACAATCTTTAATGTATTTATCCTTACAAGGTAGGAGGTACATAAGGACATAGAACTGTAAGGTACCTCCTGGATCCTTGAGTCCAGTCTCCTGCTATTGCAGGCAACCCCATTGTATCATCCCATTCATAAACCTCTTCAGGCTGCATCCTGACAGTAATATTCTTCCCCTTTGACAGATGGGGAATTGAGGCACAGAGAAACTAGGTGACTTGCCTATGTTCAGAGAGGAAGTCTGTGGTGGAGCAGGGAAATGATCCCAGGCTTCCCGAGTCCCTGGCTAGTACTCTAACTGCTGAGAAGGATAAATGTGAAACTTCTCTTTGTTCAGTACCCCATGTTAGCACTTGGCTGGTGTGATTTACAAAAAATAGTTGTAATTTACTTATTATTTATAAGTCTTTCCATAGTGCTCAGCACCATATCAAAGGTTCTCAAAAGGCTTTATGATTTGACCTATTATCTAATTTAACCATGTCAATGTCTTTCACTTTTCTAAGTATCTAAACAATAAGTGGAATTAAAATGTTTGCCTGGTTATATTGTGTACTGCTTAAAGTGGTAATATATTATTGTATTTATAGACTTACAGAAAAACATTGTGAATCATGACAACTACCATCACAGCTAGTATTAGTTTTCATTCCTGTACTAGTCTCAGTATAGGCCACATGTTGAACAACCATTTAAAAAAAATACACATTTTTCAGAAGCTTCATATTTAAAGCTTATGTTTCCACTTTCATCTATTCCTCCTTTCAAAAGCATTGAATTCAGACCACAAATACCAAAAAACCTCTAAGGATTTTGCCACCAGCTATAAGTTATGCACCTTAAGATTTATTAAAACTTAAAAACATAGTGCATTCTAGTCATATCCTTAGCATGAACAATAAAAAACAAAAAAAAAACCCTCAGTTGAAAAATAGTAAGAAGGATGGAAGTATCTCTGGAGAGCTAAAATGTAGGATTTACTGTCAAGAAGAATTAGCAGGTAACAAGGTTGTTCTGCTGCAAAATGGCCTTTACCTCTTCTGTAAACAGCTTAGTGAATAGATGTCTGAATCATAGTTCAATGAGTTTTGCAGCATTTGCAAAAGATGGATAGCTATGATTAGTTGATAAAGGAGAAGTAGCTGAACAAGAAATGCCAGTAAGCATATAATTTACTGTTTCCTTAAATTAGGTATGTTGAACAGCAGAATAGCTAACAATGTCGAGTCGTTAAATTGGATAATATTTTTTAAATGCCAACATTTTTTTCAGCCAAAAATACTTCTTGTATCAGCATTTACTTTGTAAATCAGGTTTATGCAACTACTCAGATCTTACATTCATTATATGTTTCAAAAGAAAGAATAGATAACATTTGACCTGGAATTTAGATGTGAATCTCTACTCATCCAATCCATCCTTTCTACAGGTGGTGCAATAAAGTGGGCAGGTGGTAGTGCCAAAGTAACATCTTACTTGCAGAGAGCTAGGTCTTAAGAGGGAGGAAGGGAGCAAAATCCTCCTAAGTCTCAGAGGCGATCTTGAGCTCTCTAATGCCTGAAGGTCTGGGAGGAGAAGGGAAGAGAGGCATAGTGTTTGGTTTGGTTTTATACTGTCTGTCTGGAGTTTACAAATTATTAAGATGGATGAAAGAAACAGTGTTTGAATTGAAGCCTAGAAATAAACTAGAAATAAAAGAAAAAACATGTTTTGCTTAGTCTTGGCTTCCTGTGAAATTTCTCTCCAGCTGCTCAGGCTCTGGCCTTGCCAAAAATTCAACAGATTTTTTTAAATCTGTTCTTCCTGCAGTAGGTAACTTGGTGACACTCATCATTACTAATTAAGCCCCCCCTATCCTGCAATCTGATCTGTGCAGGCAGATCCTTACACCTGTGCTGAGTCCAAATGAAGCCAGTAAAGCACTACACAAGGGGCTGCTGGCATGGATCTGATGGCAGTATTGGGGCCAAATGTCTGACATCAATTGGTCTACTTATATGTTTAAGGAGTATTCACACAAGGTTTTGTGGGATCAGGCTTTCAGTAACTGATTTATACACTTCCTACATTACAGATTGGAGATACTAAAAATAAAAATGCATTGTTCCCCTTTTTCCATGAATTGTACAATGTATTGGGGAAAGTAATCCCCGGTACCTAAGTGATGGCTGCATACTATACAGTTTCTGAAATGATACAACAAATGAAGTAGATATATAATACAGTATTTCTGATTACAGTAATGTCAGATAAATGTCCTATCGTCACATCATCTCTTATTTTTCTAGAAACAACTTAAAACATGAAATATACATTGATATATCAGCTAGCTGCCTAGATACTAAAGCAATCTATAGGCATGCAGATCTTTAAAATCTACCAAAACCCCCAAACATTTCTTTACAAGCACCAGTAACCAGGAATATTACCTCATCTTGGGACAACGGTCTGAATTTGGTTTGATAGCGACTCAATTCCACATTCAAACGATGGACAGTCATTTTCAAACCATCATTTTCATCTACTAGTTCCTGGGCTTGTTGTCTCAATGAAAGCAATTCTGCAACTTCCTCTACATTTAAAAAAAAAAAAAAAAGCAAATCACAACAGTCTGACAAACACATGACACCTGCACATTAACTTAGCTGTCAAAATTTCTTAATCAGGAATGGAGACATTACAGGATAAATAACTTCTATTGACACATTACGAAACCACACAAAAATTATTAAACTCTGAGTTAGAAAAAACAAACGGACGATCCATTTCATGTGTTCTGTGGAGTAATAACTAGTTAGTTAAGGGTCACATAAAAACATTATAAATTAAGTTATTTAAACTGTTTGATATTAAAACTATTATATGTATGAATATTAAACTATTATTGCATGATAAATGTGTGTTTTGACTTCTGCATTCTATGTAAACATTTCCAAACGATATTTCTGTATCTTGTATGCTAAGATGACATGGATGTTGAACAAAAAGATATACAGTGCCTGTTTCAAAAAATAGTGGAGGATGGCTTCATTAGTTTCAAGTAATGGAAGTGAATGCCTTCTCTTACCCAAAAGGAGACTTTATTTCAGTGGAGTCCTATGCTCCAAAAAGACTACAAAGAAAATGAAAACATGCTGTTTTTCTACTGATGGAGAACTTCTTTTGTACCACACACTGCAAAATCAGTATTAAAATTTCAATAGATTGTGTTTAAGAAACATGCAAAGCACTGCAGAAGAGTCGAATCTTGCTCCCATCCCACTAAATTGGAATTTTACTCCTGATTGCAATGAGAGTAAAATTGGGCCAAAGTGCTGAATAACCAATACCTGGACTGTCAAGGTGCTGATATGATTTATTTAATTTAAAGTTACAAGGGAGAGGGACTGCTAGTGGAACTAAATTGTAATAGACTTAATTTTACTTAGCAAAATATTCTGTTGACCTTTTCCTTCAATGGCCAAAGGCCTGCAAACAGATATAAAGCACTAATACAGCTTTCAATTATCGCAGATTCTCCTTTAGCTCAAGTAGTAGAGCTACCATATTGCTTTGGGATGCAAAGATTCTCAACTGTAATGAATTTCTCACACACTTAAAAACAAAAAAAACCCCACCATTCAGTGGGGTAAAAAGGTGCAAGGGACTCAAAAAAGACTTTCTTAATGTCTTCTGATGCACTGCTAAGGGACTTCCAAGGTGCCACTCCAGCATTAAAGTTCTTGTGGGACTCTGAGACATCAAATTCACCTGCAGCTTTATTAGACTAATTATGACTAAGACTTATTTAGCACTCCATAAGCTATTTAAAGAACAGAGCTGATTATGTTGTTACCCTTGGAGAATTTCTGTCTGGATATCTATTTAGATCACCCCCTTGTGGAGATTCAGTTACTAAGGGGATAGGTTTCAAGTGAGTTAGAAAATAAAGCAAGATATAGTTCTCCTTAAATAAAGAAAAGGTACTCTAAAGTTGTATCCTACCTTCCTTATGTGAACTCTCTACACCTTTTCTAAGTTTTTTATTTTCTTTTTCCAGTGTCTTAAGTTTTAACTGTAGTTCCTTTATTTGTTGTTTTAGTTCCTCAAGTTGTAGGGCTATAGTCTGATTTGCATTGATTAGACACCAATTTTCTTGTTTTAATTCTTGGAACTTCTCTTTAGGTGTATCCATCCGTCCTTGTCTTGCCCGAACAAATACATCTACAGATGACAGAGAAAACATGTTATAGAACACAGTATTCACATGGTATTCAGACTTTTCTACATTATTAGCTCCAAGACAGGGGAAAAGAATATCAATCTTTTCACAAATTACTAGCATTATATTACTGAAAAATAAGTATCTACAGATGGTAGAATAAGAGTACACAAATCCAGGTTAAATTATTTTAAGAAAAGGCTCTGTAGGACACAAATCAAATCATTGCACTGATGGGCCTGTGGGGCAAAGAAGAAGAAAAAACTATGGAGTGGGGAAGGGAGTTGCATAAAAGGACCATCACCTCTGCTCCAGTGCTTCCAGTTACCATTGACCCCACTGAAGATCTCCCTCCCACAGAGAGCAGCAAGAGTAGTACAAGGCTTCCCTTCCCTCCACCCCTTGCTGGGGTAAGCAGGCCAAACCTGCTGCACTCTTCTCCTCCTGCCACACACAGAGTCTTCTGTTGGGATGGTGTTGGAGGCTCTCTCCCCTGTCCCGGCAAACAGTTGGTCTTTGAGTTAACACATTCTTGGAAAGCATGAGGTCGTTCACACCTTGCAGAGCTACAGTTTCAGGCTGTCTGCAGAATCAGGCAGACATCACTGCATGAGTTATACTTTGATCATGTTTTCAAACTTTTCTTTGTATCTTTGTAGAAAACTTGCTTTTTTTAAAATGAAAGTTGAGATTCTATCCTCATCAATGGACTCTAGGAGTTGGAGCCCTAGCTATAAGAGGCTGTGGCCTATAGTGCCTATGCCTGAATCCAGCTCTGCTTAGGCCAATTGTAGAAGGGGGCTGCAGGAGTATATATCCACTCCAAGAGCTGCTTGGGAAACCTGGAGTTAGTTATACTTATCTATATCTGTTTATATAACAGATAGCTATAATATAGTGGTCTCCAAACTTTTTACTCAAGATCACTTTTAGAATATAAATGCAATCCAGGATCTACCCCACTCGCTCTCCCCCACCTTCACTCACTTTCATCAGGCTAGGGCAGAGGTTTGGGAGGGGGTGCGGGCTCTAGGCTGGGATCGAGGGGTTCAGAGTGTGGGAGAGGGCTCCAGGCTAAGCCTGGGGAAGAGGGTTGGGGTGCGGGGGGGGTGAGGTGTGCAAGCTCTGGGAGGGAGTTTAGGTGCAGGAGGGGGCCTCAGGCTGAGGCAGAGTGTTGGGGTGCAGGAGGGGGTATGGGGTGCTGGCTCTGGGAGGCAGTTTGGGTGCACAAGGATGCTCCAGGCTGGAGCACAGTGTTGGGGTGCAGGAGGAGGTACATGGTGCTGGCTCTGGGAAGGGGTCAGGGCTGGGGTACAGGAGGGGGTTCAGGGTGCAGAAGGGAGTATGGGGTGCTAGCTCCAGGAGGAGGCTCAGGGCTGGGGGTTGGGGTGCAGACTCCCACCACGTGGCACTTACCTCGAGCAGCTCCTAGTCGGCAGTGCAATGGGGCTAAGGCAGGCTCCCTGCCTGCCCCAGCCCCACACCACTCTCGGAAGTAGGCAATGTGCTTCTGCGGCCCGGGGGGGGGCACGTGGCTCCGCGCGCTGCCCCTCTCTACAGGCACCACCCCCACAGCTCCCATTGGCTACAGTTCCCAGTTCCTGGCCAATGGGAGCTGTAGGGGGTGGTGCTTGCAGGCAGGAGCATCGCACAGAGACCCCTGCTCCTCCCACCCCCCCAGGGGTCACAGGGGTGTGCTGGCCACTTCTGGGAGTGGCGTGGGGCCGGGGCAGGCAGGGAGCCTGCCTTAGCAGCAGCCCCACTGCGCAGCCAGACTTTAAGTGCCCGGAGGTTGCCGTCAATTGTGAGAGTCTCCAGGATCAACCAGTCGATCGCGATCTATGGTTGGGTGACCACTGTTGTAATAAAACACAAGAGGCTTGTTTATACTACAGCCAGTTTATCTGGTATTGGGTGTGTTGGGAGTTGTTAACCTTCTCATATGGCATATGCAAGTGTGAGGGCATAGAAGCTTTTTATATAGGAAAAACCTTTCAAAGGAAACAAAAGAAAAATAATAAATTTGAACATGTGTAAATATACCATAGACATTATACACCTCCTTAGGAGATCCAGGGAGCTGTGCCTGGAATTGCTGGTTAGATGCAACAATCCATAGACTCTGCAATAGCAGAAGGCAATGCCATGTGTGGATGTACTGCATTACTGTAATTTACATCACTTCAATCACATTGGTGCAAGTACACTGGTAAAATTCTCTAGTGTACACAAAACTTAGGTGACTAGAGAGAAGGTGAAGGATAAATGTTACAGTATTGCCTTTCATTCAGATCTCCTAGAGCATGTCACAAAGATGAAGATTCCCAAGACTCATGAGGTAAATAACGATGCTTAGGTATTAGAAATTTCTTTAATTCCAAGTTCCTTTCTCCATATTTCTCTATTGGCTTTATATTCTGTTAACAGCTATTTCTGTTCCTGACCTCCCACTGGGAAGTCTGGCAAATATCATGCTTTATCCTGACACCTACGATGACTCTTTAATTTATTAGAGCGATAATGGGGGTGAGGTAACATATTTTATTGGACTAACTTCTGCTGGTGAGATAGACAAGCTTTCGAGCTACACAAAGCTTTTCTTTATGTTTGAGAAAGGTATTAAGAGTGTCACACCTAAATACAGGATCAAACGGATCGTTTAGCATAAGTAGTTAACACAGAATTTAAGACACCATTCAAGGTGAAGTGGCATGTTAACGCCTTTGGAGTCATAGGCCAAAAGGAGGGGTTACAGATTATTGTAATAAACCATAAATATAGTGTCTTTATTAATACATGATTTTTTAGTGCCTAGCAAAGTTTTGAATTCAAGCTCCTAGTCTCATCTTTTGAAAGTGTCATGCAGGTTTCCTTTGAGGATGAGGACTGATGGATCAGATATAGAGTGATCACTCTTTCAAGCTACACAGAGCTTTTCACAATTTGTCTCTCTCACCAACAGAAGTTTGTCCAAAAAGAGGTATTACGTCACCCACCTTGTCTCTCTCCTACCTGGGACCGACATGGCTACAACACTAACCTTTAATTTATTAGCAAACATGCTATGAAAAGAAATCATCTTCAGTGCCTATGATCTTTCCCTAAATTAATCATATTCAGCCAAAATTCATTCACATTATTCATATTTGGAAAATAAAAACAAATATAAATAATTCACATGAAGAAAAAGCCTGGAGTTACTGCTTTTGTATGTCACTGAGTATTCTATCTCTTGTACCTCAAATATATAACTTTTGCTTTTTGTGTAACAGCAGAAAAAATGTATTAATGTACTTTATTCTAAACCCCTCACTTTAGGGATTATGTTCAACACACAGTAGTACCTGGGGATGGTGGAGGCTTTTCGCTTAGTGGATTTTCAACTGCCAGTTTTTGCTCCTAGCAAATAAACAAAATAATGTGAGATAATTTGCTGTAACAGTCATCCTTTTCTATTTTAACAACCTCACCATCAATACAGAAATTACATTATTTACCAAACATTTAAGATCCAAGTTTTATCATTATAATTTTGTAGCCCTTAGTCTCTTTGTATGTAATGAATATTTTGTCATATTAAACCAATGACAAAAGAAACCATAAGTATAAGGGAGAAGTGTGGTCTTTTAGATAGAGACAGCCTCTGTCACTGCCTCCATTACCCCTGCTGCAAGTCAGTTTAATACCTCTGTGCATCAGTCTACCTATTTGTAAAACTAAGTATTAGCAGAAAGAATGAGGAGTACTTGTGACATCTTAGAGACTAACAAATTTATTTGAGCATAAGCTTTTGTGGGCTGAAGGCCACTTCATCAGACGTGTGTAGTGGAAAATACAGCAGGAAGATAAACAGATAGATCTATACAGAGAACATGAAAAAATGAGGGTTCCCATACCAGCTCTAATGAGACCAAACAAATAAGGTGGGCTATTATCAGCAGGAGAGAAAAAACTTCTGTAGTGATAATTAAGATGGCCCATTTCAAACAGTTGACAAGAAGGTGTGAGTAACAGTATGGGGGAAAATTAGCATGGGGAAATAATTTTTAGTTAGTGTAATGACTCATCCACTCCCAGTCTTTATTCAAGCCTGATTTAATGGTGTCCAGTTTGCAGATTAATTCCAGTTCTGCTGTTTCTCATTGGAGTCTGGTTTTGAAGGTTTTCTTGTTGAATAATTGCGACTTTTAGGTCTGTAATCGAGTGTCCAGGGAGGTTGAAGTGTTCTCTAACCGGTTTTTGAATGTTATAATTCTTGACATCTGATTTGTGTCCATTTATTCTTTTGCATAGAGACTGTCCAGTCTGGCCAATGTACATGGCAGAGAGGCATCGCTGGCACATGATGGCATATATCACATTGGTAGATGTGCAGGTGAACGAACCTCTGATAGTGTGACTGATGCGATTAGGCCCTATGATGGTGTCCCCGGAATAGATATGTGGACAGCATTGGCAACGGGCTTTGCTGCAAGGATAGGTTCCTGGGTTAGTATTTTTGTTGTGTGGTGTGTGGTTGTTGGTGAGTATTTGCTTCAGGTTGGGGGGCTGTCTGTAAGCGAGGACTGGCCTGTCCCAAGATCTATGAGAGTGAGGGATCGTCCTTCAGGATAGGTTGTAGATCCTTGATGATGCGCTGGGGAGGTTTTATTTGGGGGCTGGAGGTGAAGGCTAGTGGTGTTCTGTTACTTTCTTTGTTGGGCCTGTCCTGTAACAGGTGACTTCTGGGTACTCTTCTGGCTCTGTCAATCTGTTTCTTCACTTCGGCAGCTGGGTACTGTAGTTTTAAGAACGCTTGATAGAGATCTTGTAGGTGTTTGTCTCTGTCTGAGGGGTTGGAGCAAATGCGGTTGTATCGTAGATCTTGGCTGTAGACAATGGATCGTGTGGTGTGGTCTGGATCAAAGCTGGAGGCATGTAGGTAAGTATAGCTGTCAGTAGGTTTCCGGTATAGGGTGGTGCTTATGTGACCATTGCTTATTAGCACTGTAGTGTCCAGGAAGTGGATCTCTTGTGTAGACTGGTCCAGGCTGAGGCTGATGGTGGGATGGAAATTGTTGAAATCATGGTGGAATTCCTCAAGGGCTTTTTTTTTGAAATCTGTGAGAGTTCCCACCTCCTTCATAATACCTCACAAAGTAGTAAGCAGCCACCTGTTTCACTCATTTCTGGCCACCCACAGATCTTTCCAACTGTGTAAATTGCATTATAGTCAATTTGCTAAGGCAATCAGAAATGAAAACTGCTTCCAAACTAGGGATATTTTTCAGATGAAAAGGAAGATTAAATATGTTAAACTTTTTAATTGTTGACAGAGAATAATGGTTTCTTTACTCATCTAAATATCAGTATAATACTTAAAAGTGTATAAATGAAAGTGCAGTGTCAGGGCATACAGTTGTTGGATTTTTTGTCCTATGGCAGACAACATCTAGAGTCTTCTGGTGGCTACTATAAATAGGTTTGAGTGTACTCTGAGTGGAGAACTCCTATACAGGGAAGAGAAGGAAGCTAAAAAAATCTGAATTTGCTTCCCTTACTCAACAAAGTGCTGGTGAAGGTACAAGAGCCTCCCTAAGTCATGCTGTGATCCTGTGAAGCAAAGCAGAGTAGGGCTGGATCATGAGACTGCCTGTAGATTCTGCAGGAATAACAGTTACTTACCTTACAGTAGCTGTGTTTCTTCTGGATTTGTTGTCCATATATATTTCACTGGTGGGTGTGCATGCACCCAATGCACTTGAGTTTGGATTCTTTTGGCCAGCAGTCTTTTGGGGGCTGACCTGAGAGTCCTCATGCCTCCTATTAAGGACATAAAGAAAGGGGCAATCCCAACAGCCTCTCAGTTCCTTTGCCAATACAGAATCAAGGTGTTATCAGACTTCATACTAGCGGGGAAGAGAGATGGGTCGTGGAATATACATGGACAATACATGTTAAAGAATCACACCTACTGCAAGTAAGTAAACATTTTCTTTTCTTTCAGTGCTTGTCCTTATATATTACAGTTGGTAACTCAGAAGCAGTGACCTAGATCACTTAAGGTGAGTGCTAGGAGTCTTCCTAAATAGCAGTTGTAAGACTGCTCCACTAAAATTAGCATCAGATCCTGATACCTCCACTACAGGATAATGCTCAGTGAAGATATGTACTGCACTGCAAATAGCTGCCCTACCTATCTCCAATATGGGAGCGTTCCTCACAGGAGGGTGCTCCAGTAGTAGTGCTCACTCTATCGTGCCCCAGTAGGGTGAGCTGTTAGTCTCCTAGATGGATCTATCTTGCTAATTCATAATACAGCTAGATACAAGCAGAAACCCAGTCAGAAACTGTGTTGAAATGACCTGTCTTTTAGCCCTGTATCCATAAACTATGAATAATCTTGCGGATAGTCTCAGTGACTTAGTTCTATCTATATAGAAAGTAAGGGCTCTAAGACCATCTATGGTGAAAAGCTACACCTCACCTTTTATCTGAATGTAGTTTTAAGGGAAAAATATGTAGATGGATGACTAGATTCAAGTTACAGTCAGGAATCACTGCAGTTGATGTTTCAATGACACCCTCTCTTTATGAAAAATTGTATATGTGGTGTGACCCTATGCCCCATATTCTTCAGAGATATTCTGATATGAATATGGCATAACTAAGATGTGTTCTGTGCAAGGTTGGTCACGTGCGGTACAACTAGAAAGATTATGATTTACTGAGTATGATTATCCTATTTGTATAAAAGTATAATTTCTGTATCTGAAGTTAGGAATATGGACTATGTTTCAATTACAAAAATATCTGCACCTGGGGAATGCCCACCAGACAAAATGCAATCAGTCTGGCTGGTTAGTCAATGGGCCATTAGAGAGAACAATAGGACTTTGAAGGTGCTAATCTCCCACCTTCCTGAGAAGCTTCCTGGGATACTGCTTTGTCACTGAAGGATCATGCGATCGCCCAGGTGTCCTTGGCCCCCCCTCCCGCCTGGAGGCACTCGCAGCAGCTCTGCATACTAGGCCCAAGTGTCCTTGGCCCCCCCCGCCTGGAGGCACACACAGCAGTTATGCTGAGAATCTGCAACAATATGTTGCAGAGTCAGACTGCCTGAAACTAAGCAAGGCCACACAGGGCAGATATGGAAGAACAATGCTGAATAAAGCAGCTTTATGTATAGTTTAATAAATGATACAGAGAACCAGGGAACTAGCTGGGAACTGGATTGGCTGGCTATATGGATACTTGGGGCAGCTTGCTATTGGATAAGTATGCTGGGAAAAAGGATGTATAAAAGCCTGTGTAACTTCCTGCTCTGTGTACAGGATTTGAGATTCAAATCTCCCTGTACCTATTTGAAGCTTCAAATCAACTTTTCTGCTTCTCCACCCCGTTGTGATTATTGGGTGTAGCACACCGGGTAACGAACCAACTTCAGCTGTTGTTTAGCCTCTTGGCACTGGGTGCCGGCAACAATGTCACCTGGTACTGGATCCCATCTTGGCCCACTAGTATTTTTCCACTAATAGGTGGTGGGGACCAAACTGGGAAACAAAGGATTCCCGCCATATGTAAATTCTATTTAAGGCAGGGAAGTGAGTTAATCAGAGCTCATTCTTCACTGAATCCCTGCCCAGGATGACTGCTGAGAACATCTGAAAAACAAGGGCAGGGGGAGATGAGAGAAGAGCTGAGCCCGAGCTGGAAAAGGTGTCTGGCCTGTGAAAGAAATGCCAGTTTTCTGTGCAGCGCAAGACACTACAATCCTGGGTTTATAGGGTGTGTCCCTACCTGTGTGTGTGCTACACAAGGCTTGAGGGCCTGGCACAGCAGGACAGGATGAGGGAGCCCAGACTGGTGGAACAGGCGGGCTCACTTGGACTCCAGTACATCAGGTGGCACCCTGGAGTGGGAGGTAACCCATCACACGGGGGGTCCTGCCATGACTGCCTGTATCTCCTCTATCTTTCTGGTCAATGTTACTGCTACCAGAAAGCTGTTTTAATGGAAAGGTAAAACAGGGAACATGTTGCCAATGGGTCTACAGGTGAGCCTATTAACCCCATTAGTACAATATTTAGATCCCAAGGAGGGTGAGCCTCAATGACTAGGGGACTGTCATAAATATAAAGACAGGTTTCAGAGGAACAGCCGTGTTAGTCTGTATTCGCAAAAAGAAAAGGAGTACTTGTGGCACCTTAGAGACTAACCAATTTATTTGAGCATGAGCTTGAAGTGAGCTGTGGCTCACGAAAGCTCATGCTCAAATAAATTGGTTAGTCTCTAAGGTGCCACAAGTACTCCTTTTCTTTTTATAAATATAAAGGGAAGGGTAAACACCTTTAAATCCCTCCTGGCCAGAGGAAAAACTCTTTCACCTGTAAAGGGTTAAGAAGCTAGGATAACCTCGC